ATTTTTCTGAGCAGTCAGTTTCCTTAAGCGAAATAATTAATAATAATAGGATATAATTCAAATATATTTTCTAGTATAAAATGAAGACAAAAACGATTTAAAAATATTGAAAATTTAGTGATATCAACACGTAAAAATATMAACTCTGCAACAATATGATTAATATGTTATATGTATAGGTGRAAAAAATATTGAAATTTCAACTCGGTATAGTGGTCGTGATTCTTCAAGAGTACTGAAGAAATGTTTCAMACCTTGTCCTTTTCACTTCTAGCCGCATAAAATTACTGTTGGCATTATTATTATTTTAGAAAACACGAATACGGAGCACGCACTCRGAACACCACTATGTAGGCCTGTAAACTAATAGACTCCTTTAWGTAGTGGCTTCAATCCAATTGCACATATGGTTCATGTCTRTTTTAATTTTTTCGACTTCTTTTATTTTTAATAAAACATTTTGCACTAAATAGATATCCAGTTAAATACATTATTTTACGTTATTATTAAATAATATTGGAATCGCCGATWCTACATGTTTACATCATATTTTGTAATAAACCACGTTGGGATGGCAAGGCATATAATCATATAGTTATTTGTTATAAATTTATTAGAATATACGTTCGTTATCTTATAGACGRCATTGAAATGGTCAATATCACTCTAATATAAGCTACGAAATCGACACCCACCCTTTCTCCTTGACAATTATAATGCGGCGTACGTTAATCTCCCTCTAAATAAWACTGTACAAAGTTTTGAAAAATTATCAAAGTTTATAAATATAATGAATATAAACATATAATTTAAACCTGGCAAAGATAATACTGATCCAAACAATTACAGGCCCATCAGCTTACTATCGTATGTTTCAAAAATCTTCGAAAAAAATATTCACACCAGACTTATTAGTCATTTAAATGCAACTGATGCAATTCCTCACTGCCAATTTGGTTTTAAACCAAACCATTCCACAACTCARCAACTACTACGTATTACAGAGCACATAAGCAACGGATTCGAAATAAAAGAACATACTGGAGCGGCCTTTCTTGACATAGCTAAAGCGTTCGACAAGGTCTGGCATGACGGACTTCTTTATAAATTAAAATGTCTTAACACACCCACTGTAATCTTCAACATCATCAAATCTTTTCTTCACTCTCGTAGTTTCACCGTTCAAATAGATGGCACAAACTCAGACGTCAAACAAATTATTGCAGGAGTACCAMAAGGCTCAAAAATATCTCCAATACTTTTTAACCTTTACATATCAGATTTTCCTACAACAACGAACACGGAAATAGCCTTATATGCGGACGATAGTGTCATTTATTCTAGTTCCGATAAAATCAAAATGTAATAGTAAACATCCAAACTCATCTTGACATAATACAGATATGGGCGCAAAAATGGAAAATCGTTCTCAATCTGACCAAATGCACAGCAGTAATTTTCTCACTTCGTAGACTCACTAATTATAATTCATTAAAAATCAACGGACACAATATACCATGGCCACAAAAAATTAAATATCTTGGAGTCATTCTGGACAAAAAACTTACCTGGAACCCACATATATCCTGTAAAGTGCAACAAGGATACCAACGTTTAAAAATTTTATATCCATTAATAAATCGGCAAACATCACTGAGCTGGAAGTGCTCATTACTACTATACAAGCAAATCATTCGTCCTCTATTACTATACGCTGTCCCTGTCTGGRGTCAATGTGCACCTACCCACAKAAATAAAATCCAAGTTTTACAATCCAAAGTCCTCCGTGTGATTTCAAATGCCCCTTGGTTTGTGCGAAACGATGCCCTGCACACCGACTTCAATTTACCAACTATTAAGAACTACATTAAGGACCTATCGGCAAGATTCTTCTGTCATCTACGCAAAGCAAGCGGTCCACAGCATTACAGGTTAAATGTCAGCCCCATCAATCGAAGACTAAAACGTGGTCGTCCCCATGATGTCCTAAAGTAGCTTATCTTCAACCTAGTTAATTATTACATTATATTATGTTAATACCTTTTTTATAAATAGCCAAAAAAAAAATTTTACTTTATATAATTAAGTTTAGATGATTTTGTCAGGAAAACTTTATAATTAATAATAACAAAATAAACATATAATTTAAATTAATAACGCCTTCATTTACAGACATTATTGATTTTGATGAGTAGATATAAAAATAAGAATAATTATAGGTTTATTGTTAATTATTTGTTGCCGTGGGAGTTTTCAGAGCCTCCCAATAGAAGTATGTTCTGTTTTACACGGGGTCGTAGATGTCTGTTCATTGTTTTGGATACAATTCCATAGTATAACGGACTACCTCTGAATAACAATTTATTGCTATGTAATAGTGTTCAAAGAGTGAATTGAAAAATAAAACATTATTCCGAAATATTCATTGGTACTTAGAAAGTAAAAATAAATTCTGTAAATAACGTAAAATAAGAATCTAGAAGTAATACATAAAAACAAAAAAATGTCTCTTAACGTGTCATATTGATGATTGATTAGGGTTGTTATCTAGAAGCAGACTTTTTTTAACAGAGAATAAAAAACTCAGATGAAGAACTATAAATTCCAATCCGGCTATTTACGAAGCCATAATACATCCAATACGCTGACGAAATATAGCTAAGGCCCAAGCACTATTGGTATTTCAAATTAAATTATAAATTATTTACTTAATGCTTTATGAAAATTATATAAATGTAACCGATATACATTCAAATATCGATGTGTTAATACATTTTAATTTAATGACAATTGTGAATTTTAAATTTAATTTACTATTCGTATATTTAATTTACATTTTTCAGTGAAAACACAAAACAATATCGATGTACCTACCTACAAATTATGTTTTTATAGTTCAAACAAGAATTTTTTTATTATATTTATTATTTCCGCAACAACCGCATATTGTACAATGTAAACATTAAATTAGGTGCTAAATAACATTATGAATATTAGGTACAATGTAGATTATTTATAAAGGTATAACGTTAAAATATATACGTACAACATAGGTAGTGAGAGAAAGATAAAAAAAAAAAAATACAAATGTCAGATAAGGTTACACAATTTGGTTATTTTAAGAAACTTTATAATTTTGATAGTGTTTTCGTGATCGGGTCCAAGTGTTTCGTATAGGTATAGATGCTCAGGTATATTTAAAGCTGTTCTGGTGTCTGCGTAGTTTCGACAATATAGGAGGATATATCATAATATGTATAACAGTTAAACTTCCCCACAAGTTGTACATGGGTCTAGGTCTTCTCGTCTCATGAGGTGACGATGTCAAACGAGAATTATATTCACTGTTTATTTTATATTATGTTACTTACAAGGTATTTATGGTAAAAAGAACCTCAGAAGACGTATTATTAAATATTTTTTACATGTTAATAAATGCTTATAATATATTTTAGATTCAAAGAAAAGCGATTAATGATTTCATTTTAAATTAGACCAATTAAATAAACAAGCCATATTTCTATAGTACAATTTAAATTATAAATAATAATATTGTYGATACATAAAAAATKGTTTGAAAAAAAATTATTATTTTTTATTCAATACATTGTTTAATGTTTAGTTTATCCATATTACCTTTATGCCACGTTCAATCGTTTTTTTCTTATAAAATAAACTATAACCCAGTAAGAAATAAAAATAATTCCAAGCTTGAAAATAAATTCCAAAATGAGAARTTGTTAGGTTAGGTTAAAAAAATAGCACAATTAAATTATGTTGATAAGCTGCAGTCCAAATGGAAAAATAATATTCATTTGACTATTGTGAGTAGGTATTTAAATATCTACTCAAATTACATGCAGAGAACAGAGATGAAACTTATCCCCTCAAATCTTGAAAACGTGTGATTAAGCTTTTTAGAAAAATATCTAAGAAATATAATAAAATATAAACAATGTATTATAACCTAGTTTTCAAAGGGCTTAAAATAAATTAAATATTCATGATTTACATCAAGTTGGTGATGATTGATTTTCTTCATTCATAAGTATTTTAATTTATTTAAATATTGATTTATCTCAATAATTGTCATTATTTTATAAAATGTATTTTGAATTTTATCGAATTCGTATACTCTATTGTATATTAATATAATAATTTATCATAATATCTACATTAAATAGTTTAATAAATTCTGATTTGTATCATTTGATCCATCATTATGGCATTATTATTTTTTTGCCTAATCTAATAATATTTAGAAGGTAATATATTTGTTAAAATGTATACGTATAATATATGTTTGGAGTTATATTCAGCAAACAAGACCTAATAAGTTTATGATTAAAATATCATGTATACATTTTTTGAGGAGATCAGGTGTAGAATTTCGTAATAAAACCCACCAACATTATTATGTTCAATATTAGCGTTAAGACACTGATAATTTAATTATTAACTTGTGAGTATTCAAAACCCATAGGAACCAAAATATTATAGTATATCAGGTGCGTATATWTTTTATGAAATATGGTAACTTGAATTTTGTATACAATATCTAGATTTTTAGTTAAAATATTAAAAAATCTAAATATATATTTAAAAATATTAAAAATTATTAAATCCCATTCAATTTTCATTGTACATCAAATGTATTAAAAACAATATATTTATTTTATACATTATATTAAAGTTAAATATTTTTAAATTTTTAACTTCTTGATTTCTCTATGCTGATATATGATAACTATAGAAAAATAATACCTTACTTTTATTATAAAATAAATAAGATAAATTATTTGGGTAAAAAGATTTAGTTTCAGTTCATTAGAACTACTCAAAGCTTTAATCTGACGATTTACATAAATTTAATTTCACAGAAATAGACTATTTTAAAATAACCGAAGGTTCAGAAATTGTAAAAATGTGTTGATTCAAATAAATAGGTTTAAGGTACAATGTATTGATTTATTTATAAAAATGTTTTATTTGAATTTCAGGGTTATAACTAGGTTGTTCAGTGTTTACGTCCAAAGCACAAAGCGTGGTTGGTATCATAATATAAACGACCTCAATAATTGTGTCCACTCAACGACAGTCTATATAGATGAAGAATAGGAAAAAAAGGTAAGTGAAAGTTCATATTTTTAACGCGTTTGGTTAATCATTAATTAATTCATTGTAAAAATAGTTGGTGTATTGAAACAATTATATTAATAAACTAAAAAAAAAAATTAATTCATGTTTCATAAATTAATATGAATATATAGAAAGAAGTCTTGTTCGTAGATTTTTTCGGGGCATATAATAGTTACGTAAATAATCATGTGGAATCTGTAGGTATCTAAAATGATATTATCGTTTAAAATTCTATTTCATTTTATAAAATATTTAACTTCCAAAATAATGATAACCATTAGATAATAAAAAATTCATAAAATATATAGAAGTAAGTATTTATCTGATGATTAAATAAAAAAAATATGAATACGTAATAACCTTTTGTGAATTAATTTAAATAGTAATATAAGAATACAGCTATTAATATTGATATCAATAAATAAATTATAATAAACATAAAAATATTTTAACATAAAAATATTTGTGAATAAATTAGAAAATTCTTTAAATACTTATCATACATACTATATTATAAAAAAGTATATTTATTATATAAATGTATTTATTTTTTCATTGATCTTGAAATTTACATAAATAAATTTCCACTTCGACAACACAGGCCACTAGCGTTAAATATAAATGTATTATACTATAAGAAAAGTTAAAAATTTTAATGTGCAATGTTTTAGATATATTACATCAAATTCATTATTTGAAACTTGGTTATTTATTTATGTTTATAATGATATTTGCGTTATGATTTTAAAAATGCCCAATAATGATATATGGCCAAACTTCAAAGATTTATTATTATTACTATTCTAGTATTCTATTTCATCCAGTTCATAAMAATATARAGTCTTAAACAAAAATCTGAATTCATCAATAATGATCCATTTGTTAATAATTGGAAAACTTGAAAAATTGACAAAGAATAGAAAAATGTTTTATAAAACAATGATGCTTAATCTTAACGATGAGTTTAATTTTAATCAGAAAAGACTATTGCAATAAATAAATTCTGATCCTCATAAAATAATACCTAATCTTTTAAAATCAGAATTACAGCTTGTTTATTGTTTAAAAATGTATTGAGTACATTTTTTCTTATTGTAGGGAGTATTTTTTTTTAGTTAGCTTMTATTATGTTTTTTAAATCAGGTTTTGAGATATATATTTATAATGTATAAAACATAGTGTTTTTAGCGTTTTTTTTTTCTGAAAATAATARTTTTTAAATTTTTAAACGCATTTACCTATATTATTTATGTTCATGGAAGTTCAGAAAAAAATGAAAGAATCAGAAAGATTATAAATGTTTATTCAATTAATTAATTCTCTCCTCTATGCCTAATGAATTATTTGTTATATATTATATTTAAAAAAAAAAATAAAAATATATATAAAACTTAAAACCTAAAACTTAGTGAAAAACTGAAAAGTTCATTTCTTTTTTCTTTGCAACTTCATAGTATTAATTAACAAGTGATTAAAATTTATAAAAAGAAAATTAACACACAATAATGTACATAATATTATCAAACAACCTTAATCATTGAGAGGTCTGCCGTTAAAAAAATACTTTATGTTTAAAACGACCATAWATAGTGAATAGTACTATATATAGGTACTACAATTTTATTGACAAATTAGTACTTTTTGATGAATATTGAAAATACATTTTCTTCCGCTCATATTAACAATATATTGATTATATTATTATATAACAACTATCGTGGTGATCGTTGTACATTTATTATATAGGTATAGGTGAGTATTAAAATAATTTACAATCCTGATTTTTTGAACCCCCTCTAACCAATGATATAAAGTTTGCCACTTCAGCTKCTTACGTTTGGGCATAGGAATATCTAGTATACATACCTAGTTATATTTAATATTTAAATCCATTGCTAAAAGTGTATAGGTTCGGTTAAACCACATAAATAAAACTATTACCTTTCGTTTTCGAATTAATTGATCTACAAAACATATACAGCCTTTAGTATGCACATCATGGCATCAAATTACAGGGATTTAAAAATAATATAGGTCGTATAGGTTCGGTTATTACGTGTTATGATCGTATTAACATAGTATTTTAGAATCGTTCGTTGAAACAAAGGGGGAAATGACGAGGCCACATTGTTCTGGTCATTACATCAAAACCAGTGTCATTGTTCCTAATAATAATAATAATAATAATTTCATAATAGAGTTTAGGTACATAATTTATTTCTAAAATCGATGTTATACAATAACTACTSAAATGTTTTATTTAAATTTGCTCATTTTGTATAATTATTATTGTTATTCATTATTATGTATTTATGTATAAGATTTAAAGAATTTTTTCAACTTTAATTATATGTTCATCATATTTGGCACTTCGTTGTGAAAAATATTATCATATTGATTATTATATATTTATACATTTGGTTTTATTATGGATAAAAAAACAAAAGTTTTAATGAATAAATATTAAAATAACAGTGGTTAAATATATAAATTATTAGTTAAACTATAAAGGTATTATAATATTATTACGGCCAACAATAAAATATAACGATGAATTTTGACCTAAATAATTTTGAAAAATATTTTCAGTACTCCAATTTCATTAGAATAGTTCTTAAAATATAATTAGATTAAATAAACCTCCAGAAATTCATAAAAATTTTCATTTAGGAAATATCCAAATAGAAGTTATTCAAATTTATTATTGCTTAACCATTAAGCAATTCAAACAAATAATGTTCCCGAAGAATCTGCCGTGACGTTGTTGAGCGTTGTTCTGAAATATTTTACTCTGTCATTGGCAAATTACAAAAGGCGAATGGTTTACACACATGCACACCTTCACACAACCGGCACGCCTATGCTGATATTCGGATGTGAGCAAGAAAATATAAATTCAAACAACGAATAATGTACCCTGTCTAAGAAATTGTATTTAGTAACAAACTTTCAGATACTTTCACTAGCAATTATATACCTTAGTCGTAAAGAGATACATGAATTATAAGATATCAGCAAGGCATGTTTAAATGTTAAGGTAACATACTCGTACTTTTGTGTTGATTATAAATTATTTATCTACCTAACTTATTTTTGACAGGTATCACCTGTCGACTCGAAAAGTATGTCTGATACGTTTTTTCTATAAAAGTTATTTTTTATGAATATTATTATTTGTTAATCATAATATAATAGTCTATTACACACCATATTTATGATTATATTTATAAGAAGAAGCAATTACTTATATATGCAGTTGTATAAAGTAGACGACATCAACAAAACGCGTTTAAATGTTCGGAAAACATGTATAATACGAGTAGATTTGTCGGAGGATGAAAATTAAAATATGTTAAATGATTCAAGAAAAAATCATATTTACTAGTTATAAATATGAATATTCAAAACAATTATGTTTGAGAATAATATTATAAATATTATAACATTTAAATCTAAATAAAAAAATCAATCAACAATTCGTCGTGAACACTTGATTCTGAACATCAATCAAATATATTTTATTAGTTATAAGGTTTTAAATAAAATATGTTCTGTTCAATATCGTATACGTATATAATTATTTATCATTTATTAAAACTTATTTATACTTCAATTCTATCTYAAGTCAATGTGAGATAAGATAACTTTTACATTATTAATTATTGTAATCAATACTTTTGTAATAATATGACTAATATTGTAATGTAATGGGTATTATCCAATTATATTAAATTAGTTTCGTTTGTTACAAACAGAGTCAATTTGTCGATCCCTCACTTGAGACTGTGCCAAATATCAACACACATCTAAGAATCTATATATCGTCAATGTTTTTAGCTCAATGTGCCAATGTGAGAGAGCTGATGCTTCCTGTAAATTTCTTACAATATGTAACACGGCGCAATGTATAGGCAATATAGCAACATAATTGTCTATAAACAATATTTTCAAATATTGCATAATAATTATTCTAAGTTTCTATAATCAGCACTTTTAGTGATTCATAAATTTTTTGCATTTAATAATATCTTTATATTTTAAATTTTTTGAACCAATGCAATTGAGAGTAATAAATTCAAGTGTATTCGTATCATTTCTTGAACTGACGAAGTATTTAGTTTCTATGTCCCTTAATAATGCATGATCTTGTTTGATGATAGAGATTATTCCTTAGAGTAACATACAATATAATTTTTAAAACTTGATTATTTCATTGTGTAAACTAAATATTGTTTTTAAGTTAAATAACTTATCTACATTCCTAGTATGAATATTCTATTGATAATAAATAAATAATTTTTATGTAACTTTTTAGTTGAATGAATGTATTTTTAATTTTGTATTCTGAATGCAATATTATCATTTATTTTTGGTGCGTGCTACACTCAAAATATTAAAATGTATTTATTCATTTGTAATGAGTACATCATTAATAGAGTAAAAAGGAAAATATCGTATAATTTTTAAAATATTAATTTTAAATGCTTTGTGAATAATTAGATACAATTTTAAAAAT